CTCTTTCCTCGTTCTCTTCCCCTGCCCGCCTGGCCTCCCCCCGCTTGACGTGCGCCGTTTTGGTGCAATGCGAATTATCCGCCGGCTGCAGGCGGGAGGGCGGCCCGGCCTCCCCCGCCCATCGCCATAACAACCCGCACGCCCATGTGCCCGGCCCCGGCCCGCAGCCCCGCGCGGGAAGCGGAGGAAGAGGAAGCGGCAGCAGCCGGCGCCATGGCCCGCGAGACCGGCGAGGACAGCTCGTCCTGGAAGAAGCCGGCCGAGGACATCAAGAAGATCTTCGAGTTCAAGGAGACGCTGGGGACGTGAGTGGGGGCGGCCGTGGGGGAGCGAGCGGGGCCGCGGTCTCCCCCGCACCCCTCAGGGGCGGTGGCGGTGGCAGAGCAGGGGGGCGACGAGCGCGAGGGGCCTGTGTTTGGCGGGGAAGGGACGGGAGGGCACCCCCCCTGCACGGGCACCCTCCAACTTTGGGACTCGCGAGTCGTACTTTTGAGGAAGACCGTCCCGGTTGGGGCGTGACACCAGTGCTGCTCTCACCAAAAATCCCGTGCGGGGTAGGCAAGGAGCAGTTGGGCGCGTTCGGTGCCAGCCGGCTTTATTTCGGTTCTCCGTGTGCTGTCTTACCTTTGCTGGAGGGAACTTAACATCGGCGAGGCTCCGGCGTGTCCGTTCCTTGTGGTTTCTATTATAAACCCCTGTCTCCGTGGAGGATGACAGTACCAGCAGAGCGACCCGCACGGCGGTTGAGTGATGTCGCTAAAAACCTAAACTGAATCCACAGCTGGGGGGGGGACCGGCGCTGTCCCTGCAGGAGCCGGGTCCCGAGGGGCTGTGGGTGCAAACTTGCTGCGGAAGCTTATTGAATAGTGCAAAGGTGTAAAAAGATGGCTGTTTCTGCTGAAATGCTATATGTGACCGTTCGGTACCTCGTGCTATTAAAGATCGTTAATGCGAGGTCTGTTCGGTAACTGTTTAACCATACGTGTCAGCCCAAAGTGTTTCGATTTGATGTAATTTAATAGTCTGGCAAGTTTTGCAATAACAGAGTGGATTAAATTAGAAGGAATTGCATTGTACAGAAGCCATTGCGTGCCAGAGGGACTGTGGCCCCTGCGAGGAAGGCAAAGCTGACCCAGGGATAGGTACGGCAATTATAAATAGGCTAGCATTTAAAATCCTCGGTCGGTTCTTTTCCCGTCCCCGGTAGGAGCAGGCTGCAGCCGCAGAGAGCAGCCTGCTAATTGGGAGGTGTGTGCTCCAGGTTGTTTTCTATCAGAGGTGTCGAGTTATTTCTCTTGTCTTTACCTGAAATGTGGCATGTCTGGACTTGGAGCCCTGGAAGAACCAGGTTGTTACCATGCAAGTTACTCCAGCCCCTGGGAGGCAAATGCCTTGGCAGTCTTCTGCTGCGGGCCCTTGCCCTTTGGAGCAGAAATGCCCCAGTTTTGGTGGAGCCCTGGAAGAACTAGGTTGTTACCATGCAAGTTACTCCAGTCCTTTGCCTGCACTCTGGAGCACTAAGTAGCTGTGATTAAATAATCTATGATCAGAAAAGTACAAAGCCCCAAATCGGGCAAGAAAGTGAAAGTTAACCTGATTTTCAAATATTTGGTGCTGAAATGTACTCACTTGTAAACGTGAAGTTGTCTTATGCAGTCTGCTAATGACTCAGTCTCTGAAAAATTTATTTTTCATTTTATACAAAAGCCTTTCAGTTCATCATTAAGATGTGGAGGACTCAGGCTGCCTTTAATAAATTCAAAAGACATCTTAAATTGGTCAGTCATATAATAATTCAAGCTGGAAGGGATCCTCTAGTGCAGGGCTCAGTGACGTTTTTGGCCAGGGTCCCAAAAAACACCCGCAACTTAAGATGTTGGCTTGCCAGGGGCAGATGGCAGGGGAGCCGCGAGGTGCTCGATCCTTGTTCTGGCAGCACAGCGCCAGTCTCTTCCCTGCCATCCGCCCTGAGGCATGTGTGCCAAGCAAAATGCCTTTGCGTGCTACGCTCTGGCACCTGTGCTGGGAGTTCCCTACCCCTGCTCTAGTGGGTTACCTAGTCCTCCCTTTCTCCCCCCCCACCCTCCCACATTATGGCATGAATTAATGACTTAGATATCCCCAGAAAATTATATCCAGTCATTTATTGAGGTGGAGGTGATATAGAATTGAGAATACCATTTTGTAACTCAGGACTGGTTGCACAAGAAGATCTCTCCTGTTAGACTGCTGAAGTCTTGGCCATTTGCCTTCATTGAACTTTGCTTTATAGAAGGCTGGGCAATGTGGTGGTTCACAGTCTAATTTGCTCAGAGAGGACGTGTTAACAAAATCCTTGTACAGTTTTCTCTGAGGAGTCAGCTGCAGCAGGGAATTGACTTTGACAGCTTTGCTGAAGTTTTCCCCCTCCATGCTAGCAACAGCATGAAACCAGCTGTGATTCGGGGATGCCTTGAGAGCCTTTCAAGGGTGCTGCAGGGTGCCGCACAATGGAAGCACTGTTAGGTGTGCAAATTTGATTTGCATGATAAGCCCAGAGATTTCAAACAGGAATTCATACTGTTAAAAACATTCTGCTCTGTTGGGGTCTTTCTGAGTTCTTTGCAACACAAGAATTGCATTATTTTTCTGTAGTCAAATAACGAGTGAAAACTAAGAACTGACATTTTCTGACGGGCGCCTCGAATCTGACAAGGGTGCCTTGAGTCTAAAAAAGGTTGAGAACCACTGAACTCGATTCAGAACCGGTCCTTTGCAACTTCACACTAGGTTTGGGAATATAAGGAAGAGGCTTTTACTCAGCAGCACCCATCTGGGTAAATCTCACCTTCTTTGTGATCCTGAGATAAGGAAGAAATGAACATGAGAGAGACCGATGAGAGAGGCAGAGAGAGCAGAGTCGGTAGGGAGAGAGGGGGTACAAATAGAGAATCGAAAAGGAGAAGGAGATAGAAATAGAGAAGAAGGAGGCAGGAATGAGAGATCAAAGCAGAAATTACACATAAAGGAGCAGTGAGTGGATGAAGACGTGTGATGCAGACTGCCTTTTGGGTAGGGAGGAGGGGGGAACTATGTATGGTGTCCAGCAAACAAGTCATAAGAACGTATGAGATGCCATACTGGGTCAGACCCCAGGTCCACCTAGCACAGTATTCTGTATTTCAGTGGCACAGAGTCGATTCTAGGGGGAAGAGTATTTATGCAGGGCCTTTCCAGACTGACCTGTCTCCTTGCTCTCTTCTCTTGCAGCTTACAGCATTGAGAGGCTTAGGAAATCTGATTTTAGAGGTTACAGGCATACTGTCCTGTTAAGTGCATGAGTCTGCCTAATCCTCTTTTGAACCAAAGTGAATTACCAGCCACTACAACCTCCTGTGGCAATGAGTTCCACAAGTGAATGACACGTGTGGAAAAAAATCCTCTTGTTTTAAACACGCTCCCTAATAATATCACTGTTTGTTCCCTACTTCTAGTATTGTGAGAGATGGTAAATAGTAAATCCCTATGTCCTTTCTTCACCCTATTCATTACTTTATAGACTTATATTATACCCCACTCAGTCATTTTATCTCTGAGCTGAAAAGTCCTAGCCATAGTGTCTCCTCGTAGGCATGCAAATTAGCATGGGTTTATTAAAATCAGGGCAATTATAAACAGGGCAACAGAAGATCTGGCTTGTGATTTGAAGGTTTTCCAAAATTTAAATTCACCTGAATTAACATACTTGCTTGGACAGGTAGAGAACTGTCTTGATTTGCCTTTGGGTGATTTGATGTTTTGAAACAACATTGTTAAAATATAGGTGCTCATCTCAATGCTATTCTCTGAAAATAAAGTCAGGGTAGTATCATTTTTCAGCTGAGAAAGTGACATTCCAAGAGCTAATGAGAAGCTAATGTCATCTACCTATCCAGGAGGAAAAGGGGAGAAAACCTTAGATCAGTTGATCAGATTAATCTAAAGAATCTGCGTTTCTAAAGCACCTTTTAGTGTAGCATCCTGACTCCATCTATGTCATAGTTGCAACCAAATTGAGGGCTACAGTTTTCCTTACTTAGCAGGGATTAAACTCTGTCATATTTATATTATGAGAGTATTGTTCTCATTGGGGGAAGATCGGGAATGAAGAATAATTCCCTTAACATTTCCCTAATCCACTAGTCAAACCCTTACTTTCTTCCTATCAGATTATGGTGGTAAGAAAGTTAGGGCCTGGGTTGCACAGGCAAAGCAAAACAATGTTGTAATAACACAATAGTGCGTGGTCACAAAGGAATCGTAACTCTTTCCCAACACTGCGGTAAAGTGTAACACATAGGGAACCCAAAAGTGACTGCATTTGTCTCAGGAGTCAAATCATGGCCTTTCTCTCCAAGTCCCCTATATGCTGTGTCTCTACTTTTCCACACTCCTACAATCACATGGCTCCTCCTACCCCAACCTTTGGTTTTTGGATAATGATACTGAGCAGGTAACAGGATGCAAGAAAACCCAACCTGTAAACTGCAGTTCTGACTGAATTTCCTCTGGCCATCAGAAGGAAATCCCCACAGCTTGAGCAATGCTGGAGGTCTTCTGTAAGCTACCATCTGCGGACTGCTGGGCCACCCACACATGTTCACACTTTGTCCCACATTTCACTCAAGAACTGTCATGCTCATACACATCTTCTTGCATTTCTTCTCTCCTTTGCACAAGTACAAGCACGGTTGCAAACTGTCACTTGCAAACCGAGGTCTGTCTTTGCAACGTGCATGCCTTCACTCATGTCATCTTGCACGTACACTCGCGCACCTACCTATCATACACTATCGTTAAGGGGTGACTGGATGGATCACGTGTTGTGCAGCTCATTGAGGCAAGCAGACACCGGCCTCCTATTCCACCCAGTGCAGAAAAGACACACCAACATATGTGCTAGTGCAAAGGATGGGGCTGGTGAATGCTACTACATACAGATGATTTGGTTCAAGTGATGCATGGTCCTGACCAGAAGTCGTTCACTCATCTTTGGTTCTGATCACCTGTTGAACAGAAATTAAAACTACTGCATTTTCTCCCATAATATGAGTCTTGAAACACAATCCCTTTAATTGTGGGTGCCGTATAAATTACAAAATAGCTTTTGTCTCTTGCTGTATTTTAGGTATATGAAACTTCAGAAGTTTCTCAGATCTTGCAGGGAAAAAAATATTCGCACTACCCCTCCATTTTTATTCCACAAAAGACTGAAACACTGTTTTAGTTTCACAATGCTGCTGCTGACATGCACAGCGCTGACAAGTGATTTGTGATCCCATTTGTT